ATTCTTGAATCAGGCTCTTGATCCAAATTCTTGATCCAGGCTCTTGGTCCAGGCTCTTGATCCCTATTCTTGATCCAGGCTCTTGGTCCAGGCTCTTGAACCAGACTCTTGAACCAGATTCTTAAACCAGGCTCTTGAACCAGATTCTTGATCCAGATTCTTGAACCAGGCTCTTGGATCAGGATCCAGATCCTGAACCATCCAGGAAGTGATGAAGAGTGAACAGAGTTCTTTGCAGGTTTGTTTCTTGTCTAAATGTAAATATTCAGATGTCAGCCTCAGATCTGAGTCTGGGCGTATTTTCAAAGACAAAAAGGGCAAACTGTTTACAAACGTGAGATTGTACTAAAGAAATATGACTAATATTTTAAATTTCCAGCCGAGTAATAAAATTCTCCTATTTCTTAAATAAATGCTATATTTTGATGGCTTTTCCTTTCAGGCAGATCTCGGGCAGCACCAGGACATCTGGACTTTATTCCTCACATTTGGTTTGGATTCTCAGACTCTTCAGTTCTTCGCGTTTGACTCGTTTCCTGTTTTGTACGGACTCATAAAGCACTTGTACTTTGAATGTGATGTGAATAAGGGCATGCTCTGTGCTACTGTGGATCCTTTTTGTCCTGCGTCTGTTTCCCTCCACGTTTTTCTTTTTTCTGGAGTTTACTAAGACATCCCCACAGTCGCAGCGAGACGTCAGATGGTGACGGTGTGGGCATCATGGACAGCTGCACTTCTTTTTGCACTAATTGGTTCACGTGTAGATTCTTACACTTTTTGCCAGATAACCCAAAGAACGTGAATGAAGCCATTACTAAGAAACTGTGTGTGTGTGTGTGTGTGTGTGCGTGCGTGCGTGGTTGTTTGAATTAGATTTAAAACAAACCCTGATCATTAGTTTCTGGGTGAGTTTTTGTATCTAGCAGATTATGTAACAGCTCAGGCCTGCTGGGTGTGCAGCGCCCCCTGGTGTCACTGTGGAGGAACAACTGAAGCAGCTTGTCCAGAATGAAGCGTTGACCTGGTGCAGTTTCTGCAGCCAGCAGCCCAACAGGGCTCACTTTTTATAATTATTAATATTCTACTCAACGTGAGGGATCAAACTGGCTGCACGTCAGCATCGATGTCACAGCTCTGCAGGTCTGCTGCCAAGTTCAGGGGGCATTCATCCTCAGCCAGGATGGGGGGTGTCCTCAGTCAGGTGTCCCCATGTGGCCTGTGTTTCTTTTCATGTCAGTGAAACTGGTCAACCTTCAGCGTGTTGATGTCCTCTTCAGCTGTTCTTTATCCGTCTCATCCACTCAGAGGGTCATGGAGGTTTATTTCTGTGTAATTTAGCTGTTTCTAACTTGTTTTTATTGTCCTCCCTGCGTCGCAGCCTTGTCTCCCGCCGCCTCCTGCTGCCTTACTGTGTGTTGCTGTAACTCTTTAGCTCCTTTGAGCTTCCTGTGGTTTTCTGGCTCTTGGTCTCACTGTCAATTTCTTTTTTTATGTCTCCCCATAACGAATGTACAGTTCTGTTATTTAAAAATGTCTATGCCCTTTAGTGTTACTTTTTTTAAAGTCCTTTTGAGTTTTCCTCAAAGTATAAGAGTTTATTGGTTTGTATTGTATGTTATAGTGTTTATCTTTCTGATTTAATATAATCAATAAACAGAAGTTCACTGTGAGTGATGGTCTTACTGCAGGGGGCAGCAGCGTGGTGTGCCTCAACACGTCTGCTTCCAAACATTTCATTTCTTTTTGCTTAAAGAAAACTTGGTCCAGAAGAATTTTTAACTAATTTAGACAAAATGACTCTCTTCCTCGTGTTTTCTGTCAGATATTAATTAAATTGAGTCCTCCAGAATTTGTACTTTTTACATACTTTTGTAATTTATGGGCGAGTGATGACCCAGAGGTTAGAGAAGGTGGGCCAGTGTTGCCGGTTCAACTCCCTGGACTGACATAAAAAATGTTGGTGGGAAAGGTGAAGCACCCACTCCTGCATCCACCCTCTTTCGTCTCACTCTGGGCCCTTGAGCAAGGCCCTTAACCCCCACCATCTGCTCCCCCGGGTGCCCTAGACAGCAGCTCTCTGCTCCACACAATGGCTGTGGTAGTTCAGTGGATGTGTCGGGAAGAACGTCTGGTGTAAAAATAATCAAGTGTTCATGTGAGTTTGTTCATTGTGGTGACCCCTGAAGAAGGGAGCAGCTGAAAGAAGAATAAACAAGATGCTTTTGTGATTTAGTCATATTAAAACACCCATCTATGTACCAGGAATTATTAAAAAAGAATAAATAAACTTTCTATTCCCCACTAGGTCTTAATATGAGATCAGGAACTACAGAACATGATGTCTTACACTTGAATTGTTTTATTCAGCTAAACCTAAAGTCCATTCTTGCTGCTTATACACCAGGTAGCAGCTGAACGCTGCTGATCAGATGAACTGATCACAAAGTTTGGTCTAGTGGCTGCTCCACAGCGTCCAGGTGTGTGCTAGCACAACATCAAGAAGGAAAAACAACAGCAATGAACTTGAAACAACTGGTGCTACCGACCAGGCTGGCCAGAGTTAAAGGTCATTTTGGAGGTCATTGTTTTACAGACAAAGATGGAAAATAACATTTATAAAAAGGTGAAAAATATTCAAGACAATTTTCCCAAGCGTGGACATTCCAGGAAGCTCACCCCAAAGTCAAAAACACCTCAAGTGCTTTAAAACCCCACAGATGTCAGCAGGGTAAAAGTCAAAGGCCATGACAGGACAATTAGGAAAACCACTGAAGAAGAAGCTTGTTTGGGAGGTTCTGCAGGAGAAAATGTAAAATCATGGCAGCACCGCTTAGATTTGAAACTTTCATCTGAAAGAACCACAAGACTTTGGACAGATAAGACCAAAGTAAAACCACTTACCCATAATGCACAGAAAACGTTGGTTACGTACTGTAACCCCAGATTCTATGAGTATAGGCGTAGCCCTTTAAGGCTGTCGCTGATGGGTTTATCCCGTTATGCGCAAGCATCATACTGAAAAAATTAGTCCACGCCCATCTGCTGTGTGGGCCCCACCCGATCCGTATACGTTACATTAAGAGCGGGTAATCGGCTCCCAAATAGCTTTATTTTTTCTTCAGCTATTCAGGAGCCAGTGAGGCCCGACACTTAAAGGGCTACGCCTATACTCATAGAATCTGGGGTTACAGTATGTAACCAACGTTCTATGTCGTATAGGCTTCGCCCTTTAAGGCTGTCGCTGATGGGTTAAGGGTGAAGCGGATGTGGTCCTCGCCTCACTGGGTCCATTCGAACACAGTATGAAGCGGAAGCTTGCCCAAAAAACGTCTTGTCACTCAGCTCCCCATGTGCATAACTACGCGTTGCGTAATTATGTGCCATGCACAGACGCATGTTGTGTAACTATGCGTTCTGACAAAACATGAATGCCCCGGAAATTTTCAACGGGGAGAGAATGTTGAAAAGAAGAGGGGGGGGGGGGGGGGGGGCATGAACCAACTGGTTCATGGCTGAACAGTATAAACAGATCAATAACAATGAACTGATTATTGATCAAATGAACTGATTGGTAACAATAGTCATGAACTGATTAGTGACAATAGAACCAAAATCACAGACACTGTGATCTCTTGATCACAGTGATATGTGTCAACACATAGTCAACACTATGTTAACTATGTAACACGTCAACGCCCGCACCGGACAGAGAAG